TGCTGTTTCAGATTTCAGCGTTGGTTGTGCAGCAAACAAAATCTCTCACTTGCACGACCGAACTGCCATCTCTGTTTAGCCGTTTAAAGTAGTGTCAACAAGCCAAAAAAATCTGTTTTGTTTCTTTATTTACAAGTTTAGAAATCACATAAATGAATCATTTGGTAATATCATGTTTGTTTTTCTAATAATAATTATCCTAGCTAACTAAAAGTTTTTTCCTTTTAACCAAACAACGGCCGTTGCGCCCTTGAGTCGAGGTAGTACCGAAGTCCGGCCGTTTTCACCCGTCCACTCCACTCCACCGCTCTCGGGCCGATGAGAATGTTGCAGGAGTTTAGTTGACAAGTTGAATTGCCACCACCGCCGAAGCTTTCATCCTCCTCCTCCTCCTCACAACCCGTACACCTACCCAACCGATATCGAAGGTAGTTGCTGCATCGAGTCCCGAACACCCTTATCCGCCGACTGAGGGCGTCCACGTAGAGCATATACGCACGGTAGTGATTACAGTGGTAGGCATTTAGAAGTCCCTCCAGGCGGATGCATCCCGGCTGGCGGACGCCCCCGTTCGGGTAGAAGTCCACCGTGCCCACCGGCTCGATGCTGCCCTCGAAGAGGGCGTCAGTGTGGAGGACGTCGACGAAGGTGGCGTCCGTCCGCCAGAGCCTCGCCTCCGGCTGCAGGCCTTCGAAGAGCGGCCCCGCCGGATCGAGCCCCGTTATCTGGCCCAGCCGACCGGAAAGGCGCTTTCCCGCGTAGCCAGAAACGTGGGCGCCCAGCGAGTGGCCCAGCAGGTGAAAGCTGCTCAAATTAAGGTACCGCTGCTGTTTATTATTCTCCGAGAAAGTGTCCACCAGAAACTGAATCTGAATGGCGACCATGGCGCCCACGACGCGGGCGTTTACGATCGCCTGGTGGTAGAGGCCCCGGGCGCCCCTGGTCCAGTCGACGATGATCACATTGAGGTCGTCGTAGTCGAGCCACCGGTCTTTCATCGCCACCGTCCACGAGGCATTGTCCACGGTGTTGTGGAAGCCGTGAATGAGCACCTTTGTGGACAGTGTTGCTTTGAAATGTTTTTCCAAATCTGGGGAAGTTTGGTTAAAAGTGAGGAGCACCTCAGAGTAGCGGTTTGCTCGGGTAAAAAGCAGAAACCGAGGTCCGATGATGTCCGGCGATTCAGGGAGAAAGGCGGACGAAAAGGGACGAAAGATAGGATGGTAAAAGTCGGTGGAGTTGAAAGTTCCAATGCCGGGGTAGGTTACTGAGAGACTGCTGATTGCTAATAAGGTTAGGAAAAAAGAGAAAACAATAATAAAAGTTTAATTATTAGACAAATGCTATTCAACATACCTTTGAAAAAAGTCAATAAAACAGTGGTTAATAGTAAGAAGCATTTTAAAAACATCATTATAAATTACTTTTAAACAAAAATGTAACAATGAAAATAATGCTAAAAAGTGTAGCTTTTAATTTGTGTCAGACAAAAACTTTTATAAGCATCTACTGCAAACTAAACATTGACATGTTATCACTTGACCTTAGTTTTATTACCAGAGACCACTGGAGTCTACTGGGTCACCAAAAGTGGTGACCTTAAACTGGTTTGAAATGGCAATTTAAGTAATAGACACAAGCAATAAAAAATTAATGTAAACACAAAAAATGTAAATTAAAAAACCGTTTTACAATGTTTCTTCACCCTTGAAAGCCGTTGTCTTAAACTAGAAAGTATACAATCTGCTTAAAACGGTTAATTGCATCGTACAAAAGCTAATTGTAAAAAACTGTAAATAGCAATTAGGTAACTGTTGCAATCAGTTGAAAACTGTGTCAATGACTGAGGGCAACAAAAAGTGATTTTTTCGTGTTGTAGAAAAATTTTTGGCACTGAATGTGGAAAAAAACTGTCACTGCAAATCGTGCTATAAATAAACGCGACAAGAATTTGCCTATTGCGCACACACACTTTTCTTAGCATATCTCTGCATTGCACACTGAAAACAGTTTTTTCTAAGCACTCTAGTAATGATTTTTTATGCCTTGCATTCACTGATCATTTGTTGACAAAGAAAGATTAAAACACACATTATTTGCCTACTAAACAAGTGTTTGAATTTTTTGTTTTTGAAATCACAACACAAAATGGACTCCTATTTTCTTGACAAGGAGTTGCACGGCCTGGTGACCAAACGCCGACTGCATCGCATGAACGAGGACATCATCGACAATCTCTTCAATCACAATGCCCTGAACATGAGGCTGATGTTGGTGAGGAATGCCGCCAATGTGGGCAAAATTGAAAACTGGAAACCGTACAAAGTCGACCGATCAAGGAAGTTTACCTATTAAAACATCAACTTTAAATAATTTAAATGCTGTTTTGATTATTTTAATAATAAAAAATTATTGTTGTTTATTCGAAATAAACATCAAAGTTACACAAATCTAAATATATAGTGAATTGACAAATCCAACTGATGANAAAACATCAACTTTAAATAATTTAAATGCTGTTTTGATTATTTTAATAATAAAAAATTATTGTTGTTTATTCGAAATAAACATCAAAGTTACACAAATCTAAATATATAGTGAATTGACAAATCCAACTGATGAGTTTCTGTTTAAGCAAGAGAAAACAAGGTTTGATTCATCTTGCCCATGTTTTTAGGGTCAAACTTTGAGTACTTTGTTTTTGGCTGCAGACACTCGTCCCAGTAAAGGCTGGCAAAATCAGGCGTTTTGCTGGACGGCAATGTTTCTGTTGTTGATTAAGGATAAAATACATAAAGAGCAAGTTTAAAAACATTTTCAACCACAAATCAAGTAATACTTACTGATGCAGTTGAAAGTGAAGAGGTTTCGCCTTCCAATCGCAAACGAGGTCGACTGCTCGTAATTGAAAGTGAAAACGGAGAACTTTTGGCTGGCGTCTTTGGCGGCGCACTTGACCACTCGCAACGGGTGGCCCTCGCCGTCCTTGCTACTCAAGCACATCAGGCCTTTTTTGGCCTCATTGTAGAAAAAGTGGCCCGACTGGGGCTCATAAGTCCACGAGCTGGCAAACCAGGCTGGAGGACTGCTCTGAAAGAGTCCGGGCGCCTCCTTGCGNTTGACCACTCGCAACGGGTGGCCCTCGCCGTCCTTGCTACTCAAGCACATCAGGCCTTTTTTGGCCTCAATGTAGAAAAAGTGGCCCGACTGGGGCTCATAAGTCCACGAGCTGGCGAACCAGGCTGGAGGACTGCTCTGAAAGAGTCCGGGCGCCTCCTTGCCGCACCAGTCTGCCGGGCCTAGCCAGACAATGTCGGAGCGAGTGTCCCGGCCAAAACACTGCGGCGAAGGCATTGCTGAAAAGGTGCTGGTCAAAATGCGCCCGTTTCCCGACTGCAGGGCATTCACTTGAGCTGCGCTGTCTCTTGGCGTCTTGAAGTAGCTCACATTTTTGGCGTAGAAAGTGAGGTATATTTCAATGAAAACAATGCCGTTAAGAATAAGCGAGAACAGTAGACAATACATGAACTTAGACATTTTTAACTATCCTTTTAACTGGTCAAACTCAATGTAAAAAATGGTAATGTTAGTAGGGAGTAAAAATTGAGCGCTTTCTGCAATGAAATAAGTGTTTGTAGTGACATATGAACAGTGGGCAAAATAGGATTTCACTTACTTAGGTGTTTAATAAGGTAATAGTGGTGAGGACGACAGTGTAGATGATCAGGTAGACGGCGGCAATGAAAAACAGTATAACGGAAAGGGTAAAAAATATGCACAAACTAGTTTGCTGAGTTTCACAGCACATAATAACTTTTATGCTTTTTTTAAAAGTCCAAACATACTGTTTGAGATTAAATAGTTTTAAATACTTTATATGCAGTGCATCACAATGAAAGATAACATCCAGTCAATTGTTGCATTCTTTCTTTGTTTTTAAAACAAATTTTAACATTGTGGTAAAAAATGATCACTATTTACATTTTTTAAATGAAGTTTTTTCACTCTTTCCGGAAACCAATTGTGTACTTGTTAGTCACATCTTTGCAGTTAATGGAAAGCGGCAACGTAATTGGTGGTCTTGATTAATCAAACATCATGCCCCCTACTGCAGCAAACTCTTGTGAATTTCTAAAAACTGTTTCAGACTGGTTCCTAAGCTGGTCGACTGTCACTGGGAAGGGTTGATATTGGGGACATTTGCCAAACATACATGCACTTGACAGTAGAAAAAAATGCTTTTTTAAAATGTTTTGAGGCCTCACAACAGGTAAAAATTAAAGCAACTACTTGTTTTCACAACTAAACTTGATGATCAACTCAAAAACAAAAAGAAGGTATTTTAACTGTAGTGATTGTCCTTTAAGCAAACTACGTATTAGGCAGCAGTGCTGTTGTCAATAGACAACCGTTGTGAACATTGCCAGACACTGGCACCGTTTGAGCTGAAATGCTTTAACCACTTGTTTTATTTTACATTCAGAAAGAACAAATCGGTTTTTAAAATTTAAGCTATAAACAAAATAGATGTTCAGTAAGTAAAAACAAGCAAATAACTAACATTACACAAGTCAATTTATAGCAAACATGTGTTAATTAAACAAAAATTACAGTGTAGTAGTATTGCTAGTAGTGTAGTGATGCACCGAGAGTTTCGGTTTCTAATTAAATTTGACAGATACAATGTTTGAATTTAAAGACCATTGTTCGTTAAATTTAGCATTGCAGTAAAATTGAGCACAGAATTTTTTTTCAATCGGAGTGACGACAATTGAAAATATAGTCGGTTTGTCAATTTTTACCTTCTCTACAGAAGCAATGTATTTGTTGTCATCAAGATTCGTTTCAAAAGACCTCATAATATTGCCACGACTGTTGTCTATAATATAAAAAAAAAGTTAGTTTGATTCGTCAAACTTAGTGGTTGTATTTAGTTATACCGTAGTATTTAATAAAAGTGGCAAAAACGTCGTCCTTGACACCGTCATCATAGTCAAATGTGAAATCTATTTGAAAAAATTTCTTCTCGTTTTTCTCAAATGTGTAGTCAGGAGGCATTTTGCAGGTCAGCGTGACAGACACCGGCGTCGAAACATTGATAGAAGCAATTGGAGCCGGTGGAGGTGGTCCTTTGTTTTCTGCAGACACCAAACTGCCGTGATCAGTTGAAGTGAACAAATGAAGGTAAAACATTAAACAAAAAGCCAGCGTCAGCCGCTTGAGAGTTGAGAGGAACATTTCCAATGGTAGTAAATTGTGAGTTTGATAAAACACAGTAGAAACAAAAGCACAGTCAATTTGGTGTTTTCATTAAATAATAATTTTTTTAAATGTTTAAGGTTTAAATAATTTTTAACAGACAGACAGGCTCATCAATAAACCTTCTAAAAATATGTCAAACGTCACAACTATTTTGCAGTTATGTAAATATTTTGTTGTTTTCAGTCAATTGCGTATTTCAAATGCTTGTCGTTGTAACAACATTCCGGTGAAATTGCCAAATAACTTTTAATCATCATTTAGGGGTGCACTCAATACATGTCAGCTGTAAGTTAAAAACAAAATTTTCAAAATTAAACGAATTTTGAATAGGCATTTTTAGAAAATTAATGAATTTTTTCGTTGTTGCTAACAAAGCAGTCAGACACTGTAAAAAATTTGAGTCACGTGATTTAAAAAATTCTAAAATATATTTTTGAACATGACAAATTTCGTTAATGTATCTTACTAAAATGTTGTAAACGCTTCAGAATGTTGTAGGTTTCTGAGGCGCAGTAGTAGCTAATGAGTAATGACTGAAGGCGATCCAGGACGCTGCCAATCAGTTTAATGGAAGCCAGTTCATTGGTGAAACCGGTGCTTNGGGGGGGGGGTCAGCGCGTCA